TAGACTACTCAGCATTACCAGGCACAATGGAGCTGATCCTGTGTATGTCAAGTTGTTTGATTGAAACTCAGAATTTAAAAAAGACCAACAACAAGCAACTCCCAGAATATTCCAATAATCTGGGGGAAAACATGGATTTGATTCTCCTTGTATTTTGATTGTTATAAAAGCTTATATGTGATAGCTGGGGAAATTCCAGATGCAGTAAACAATGTATAAGGAGGCTTTCAAAAGCACGTAAGAGATTTAGGAACAGAAGTTCCATTGTTTTTTCCAATAGCATTTGTGCTCCTAAATCCCTTAGGCATTTTTGGAAAAATTCACCCTTAAACTGTAAATCATCCCCAAAATGCTTTTTTTAAAAAATCTGGACACCATTTAACTAAAAATAGTCTTTATCTGGCTACTTCAAAGATAAACTGCATTTCTGTTGTGCAGCTGCATCATCTGATTGGAGTATCAATCAGTGTCACGTGCTTTCTATGCTTGAATTTTTATTTTGGGTTCATTTATGGAACAGGCACGTGTACCAAGATTTCCCACTGTTCTCCTCCCTTCGCTCGTGCTCACTTAATAGCATAGCATTTAACGCTGTTGTCAGAAAATAATATGCTAGATGGCAGGTGAAATTCACCCCTAAGCAGAGCAAAACCTCTGCACCACTAAAGTCTAATTTAATCCCTATTTTGAGGATTTAAGTGATACTTGGCCCTCTGCACAGAAATTAATCTCACACATAATAATCTCTCAGGTATTTTATATTTACCACACATCTTGGTCCTGGGCTCAGTACAGTTCCCCTTGAACTCAATTTTGCTGTTGCAGCAATGATCAGGCCCTGAACTGCTGAGGAATGTCAACATGTAATTTGTATATCATCACATCGCTAGTAGAATGGGTATGAAATTCACAGGAGCGTGTTTCTATTCTCTCTCATTCAGTTTGGATAGCGTTTGGCTCAGACCAATCAAGGGGACTCAAGCTGCATAATTTTCTGTTATAGTCTCTTAGAAAAACATTTGCCCTGTGAAATGGCTTCATACTAAACCATTATTCCTTCCCCTGTTTAATTTCTCTTTGTGTCTTCTAAAAGTAATTTTAAAACTTTGCATCAAATGATGAATCCCAAGTGCTCACAAAAGTTGACCGACTGGTTTTTTGGGCAGACCCTGGGCTGTTCTAATGCTCCCACTCCTGGCCTGCCATTCCCATACAGTTCCTAAGGAAAACTTGCCCGTCAACCCAAAATAAGTAGTGGTTTTGTGATGTAGAAACAGACTCAGCAGGGACTAGACTGAGACCAGGGATGATACATACGAATGTTGACAGAAGCAGGCATAACTCTGGTGAAGTCAATGCAGTTGCGCCTGCTTATACCAGCAATGAATTTGACCTAGGTCTACAGCAGGGGTAGGCAACCTATGGCACGCGTGCCGAAGGCGGCACGCAAGCTGATTTTCAGTGGCACTCACACTGCTCGGGTCCTGGCCACCGGTCCGGGGGGCTCTGCATTTTAATTTAATTTTAAGTGAAGCTTCTTAAACGTTTTAAAAACCTTATTTACTTTACATATAACAATAGTTTAGTTATATATTATAGAAAGAGACCTTCTAAAAGCGTTAAAATGTATTACTGGCACGCGAAACCTTAAATTAGAGTGAATAAATGAAGACTCGGCACACCACTTCTGAAAGGTTGCCGACCCCTGGTCTACAGAAACGAAAGGCCTCATCTAGCCCGAATACTTAGTCTAGTTCACTGCAAAATGTCTAGATATGGCCCCACTCTTGCAATCAGACCTGTGTGGAGCCCTGTTGAAGTGAACAGAGTTCCATGGAGGCACGATTTCAGGATTGGGACCATTATCTCGGGGAGGTTGATTTGGCTTTTGGCAAAGTGTGTGTGTGAAAGAGAGAATTGAGATCACTGTGGAGGGGTTAACTTCCACCTGAACCAAGAGGATCCTAGGATTTCTTCATCACAGAGCATTCAGCCATTGCACCACTCAGCCTGTTCAGAGAGCAGCATTGTCTGTTTTTAAATGATGAGCACCTCTTGTCCCTTTATGATGCCTTGGACCTTTCACAATGCCTGAAGCCCTTGAAACACCCAATTAACAGGAATTAATGGAAAGGCCGCTTACTTTGCATGAGTGTTTCTTATGCTGCTGCTGCACCCCATTGGGGACCATCTGTGATCTGGAGCTCAGCAAGAAGAGGGTTTTATTCTGTTTTAATTGTATGCAGCCAGCAAACTCCAACACTGTCACACTGAAAATCACTTTGCCCATGTCGCTGTCTCATGCTTATGCCTGTGGGCACATAGTGAGCTGCTCATTTTCTCTTCCACTCTCGCCACGCCAGCTGCCGGCTGACATCTCAGAATTTCTGCTATACTGTGCACTCTCTTCAGGCAAAAGCTCAGTGTGTGGAGAAATCAAATCCTGCTTGGAGAGATCAAAATCAATTTTAAATAGACCCAGCTGTTCCCTATTGCTGGGTGCGGGGAAGGAGAAAATCTCGTAGGATATCTTTAGGGGAATCTCAAAGGGGTTTAAAGTAATAAGGAAGATTTCTAAGGCTGGGTTATTAATTTATGGATGAGTCTATGGTAACGTTCAAGATTTTAAAACAAATTTTAAAATAGGCAATACAGTGTAGAAATTCTTTCATATCCCCAATTTAAAAAGGTTTCAATGCTACCAATATAATATCCTGACTAGTCTATTATTGAGGTTACATTGACTAAAAGTGTAATCTGGGCTTTGCCTTAGATGCTGGATGCTTTGCTGGAAGGCTCACATCAGGTTTAATTTAAAAGAAAAATGGTAGGCTAAAAACAATGGGCCTGGGGTTTAAAGAAGTTGAATTTAATTTAAGCCTTGATAGTACACAAGCTTCTATTTTATTCCAGTATAGAATGGAAGTTGTTGCCCGATCACGGTTTTACATATATGCTATTGCAACTGCACATTCAATCATCTAGTTGCATATGTAATATCCTAGTTTGCATACACAGTTGCATTAAATGTGCATACAAGTCAGACATGCACCCAAGCATTTACATTGTTCCGAAATCAAACCTTACATAACAAGTGTCTTTGCCTCTGTCACTCATAACCACCTAAATGATGAAGACAGAATTTCAAAATTCAAATTCATTCTTCATTTATGCCGTTTATCCACCCTGAATAAACGTAACTAATGAAAACAGACACCTTCACTTCCACGTCTGTTTCTAGTCACTTTGTGGTTTTCATGTACTAGCCCTAGTGTTGCAATGTTTGGGCTGCAGACACTGCTGGGAATTGTCAGTCAAAAATCACATTTCCTTTAAAAATAACCATTAAATACTTTCTATTAATTAGATTCTTTCATCTTATTAAAAAAAAAAACCACACATCACAAAATGTAGATTTCATCTGCTTGACTGTAGCTTTAAAATGAGCCAAATTCTTTTGATATTATAAAAAGGAGTTGAAACAGCTGAGATATTTAGTGTCTAGAAAAATGTATTGAGCCTATAGTTAGTTTAATAAGATTATTATTGAGGTAGATCCTGTTTCAAGGTAATATACCCATGCCACAAAGTTCTCCAGATGATGTTGTTACAGTGTATGCCTGGTTTTCATCTATCTAGTGTGGGTAACAATACTAGCAAAGACATAGCAGCATGGGCTACATCACAGACTAGCAACCAGAGTATGTACCCAGAGACTCTGGCAGGCTTGTACTGAGGTTGCTAGCCCATACCACCTGTCTTCACTACTACTGGGACCTGTGGCTAGCTAGATTAAAGATAGCGATGGTAAACCTACCTGTGCTATAAAAAAAACCAAACACCTTCACTTTGTAGTGTAGACAAAGTCTTAAGAATTTCTCTACACAGGGTCATCCAGGAACACAAATCCAAATTAACTAAAGGTGTGCATTTGAAATGGATTAGTTAAACCACATTAAACTCCGGTGTGAACGCCCTCATTCAGAATTAAGCAGCCTTCCTGAAGTAAGGCTACATTAATTCTGAATGACTGTGTTCACACAGGACTTAATGCAGTTTAACTAATCCACTTCACATTCACACCTTTAGTTAATTTTGATTTATTTTCCTGGATGTCGCCTAATAGCCAAGCCCTTAGAGAGGACTTCAGCCCAATAGTCTCTCCACACAGTGTGTATGTGGGAGACCCATCGATATCACTGGGAGTTCCACCTTTGCAGAGAGACCAGAATATCAGCATATAGTTCCAGTGTGCAGAGAACAGAATTTTACCCTGTGTATTGACTGACTTGAGAATTCATACTTTGAAAACTGAAGGGGATTAATTTTCAGTACCCCACATAATGGCCAGTCCCTTGTCCCTAGGTGGGACACAGTGCAAGTTCCTCGAGCAACAGCCTCGTTAGGAGTTTCCATGGGCTGCAGCTTCACCCCATAAATGCTGTGGCCATCTTAATCTGAGATTAAATCAGTAAAAGGTTTGGCACTATTTGTGTCTGTTGAGATACTGTTTCCAAACTTTCCATAATTTAGCATTTGTTTACACCATAAGGTAATGTGCTCTACAGGGGTGTGATTTCTAAAGCACACTCATGTGTTGCATATTAATTGGTCTGTGTAGACCCTGCTGGTGCACACTAAAGGTTCCTAGTGTGCTTTAATGTACTACTGTATCTACATGGACCAACTAATGCACAAGACATGAGTGTGCTTTAGAAATCACTCCCCCACAGACTACCTTCCCCCGCTGTGTAGACAAACCCTGAGTGACATATTGCCCTTAAGTACCTACAGGTTCAATCCTGGGAATGGCAGAGCGCCGTCTATTCCCAGCAGACTTGGTGGGCCTCTTGCTTAGTCCAGTGTGCTCCAAGCGACCCTGTGGAAGTTGGTGGAGGTTATGACAGTGAAGAATGGGCATAAGTACAGGCAGGATCAGACCTGACCTCTCAGGGAGCATAGCACAATCGGAAAGCAATCCACAGCAGACTGACAGCACGTGAACACAGATATTTTTATTCCTGAAAGTTGCCTGGAGGCTCATTGCAAGCCAGACCCCTCCAGCTCAGTGAGACTCGCAGCTTTACAGTACCTTGTTCCACGGCTCCCAGTAGGATCGTTGTCTTGCTGGAGAACAACGCACTTTTGCTTTACCTCATTTCACTTCCCGTGAGCAAGCAGCCGAAACTATCGGCCCGTTGGTTTGTTAAACCATTTCCTCCCTCAGACGCCGAGTGGTGATTTTACACCAGAGCTGCTCCTGGGGCGACTGCGGACATTCTCTGTGCTCATTGAAGGGGCCACTCTTGTACTGCCATGGTGCAAGTCTGGACAGAGAAGAGCACAGCCGGCACAAGCCAGCCTGCAAGTGGAAACTGACATGATTTCCCGTCAGCTCAACCCCACCGTCACATGGTGTTTACGCTGCCAAAGGAAAGACACAGCTGACATCAATTCTGTTTATTCTAAATCAGAAAATAACACGTCTCCATCTTCGAAGCCTGCTGGGACAGGACCCACCTTTCTGTCCCTCTCCTGCTGTAGTTTGGTCAAGGTCACGGTGATGCCTGTGCCACTGAAAGTGCTTAGATTTTGGAAACTTCCTTGCATTTGCAAGTCCTGAGAGCACTCTCAAGGCCTGGCTGTGGAGCCAAAAGCATGAGGCAGACCTGAGAGCGCACGGCAGCAACTGCTCAATCTTCCCCTATTTCCCCAAAACATTTATTTTAATCTTTTGCATAATATTTCCATTGTTCAAACAATAGGGTAAGAGCCATTTTTTTGTACCTCAAGAAAAGTGCTACTTAGAGACTGCCCCAGCTCAGTTCCCAGGGAGCTCTGGCTCACTTTGGGACCAGTCCTCCCTTTCATGCCTTAAAGGGTGCCTGGGGATAAAATTGTGTCTCCTGAACTGCTGTTCTCCACTGCATCATTCCCTCTTGAAAACAGGGAGTGATGGTCTGGCTCTTCAGAGCAAGCTGGGCAGGTCCCCTGGGCTTCCAGGTGGCAGAAACCTGCTTACAGAAAATCATAGAACCATAGGGTTAGAAGGGACTGCAAGGGTCATCTAGTCTAACCCCTAATACATGGGTTGTTTGGTCAGGAATTCAGGTCTACAGCTTTGCTGCCTGGTGCAATCAAGGTCCCACAGTCCTCATACAAGCAGATCAGCTGCAGTGTATTGAAAAGACACTGCAAAATGCTATTGCTCCTTCTAGAAGCAGTAATTTATGATGCCAAATAATTCTCCATTGCTTCAATGGGTACATACCACATTGAGCTTGCCAGCACCCACTGAGCTTGCAGCACCCGCTGGGTGGATGTGGCTTATGCAGTAATACCAGGGAAGCTGTTGCTTTTCCCTCCCCGCCCCCATCCTCTTCCAGGAGATTTTTGGTCCATTTTACTCCTCTTTGGGCACTGACATGCAGCAAACTTCTGCGCAAAGCCCAGTGGAGGGAAGAGACAAAGAGAGGAGGGGGACTGAAGAATAATAATTTTCACTCCCATTGCATCTTTCATCAAAAACTCCCGAGTCCTTTAGACAATTAATTTAACCAGCCTTGCAAAGTTCTGTTTGCCTCATTTGCTTAGGGACAGCGCTTTGTTTGTCTGTGGTGCTGAGTTAACCCCGTTAAAAGGAGAATTATGACATTTGCTATCATCCATAGTCATGGCAAAGGTGGAGCAAGTAGATATTGCACCTGATCTTGCAAATGTTTATAGAAGTTTTGCAAGCCAGGCCAGCATGACTATCTCCATTTTACAGGTACCTACACTGAGGCGCTAGAGAGAACTGATGGGCTCATGGGCATGTACTGTATTGAGTTGAGTGATAAAGCTGGGAACAACAACAAAAAACAAAATAAACCCAGGAGTCCTGACATCCCATCGCCACTAGAACATGCTCTAATTATAAAAGTGGCAGAGAGAGAAACTATTCTTACCTAAAGGGAACAGTAGCTAGAGATATCGGGCATTCCACGACTCATGCCTCCCTTTCTGTTTGCGAATTGTCACCAAGTGGCTGGTGAGTTTCTTGGATTTTATGCATACAGTGATTTGCTGTAGGATTTCTTTGGGGGAGCCGGTGTAGTACGAGAAACTGCTACTACACCGGCTTGTGGCAAGGCTCCATCCTTCAGGCTGGTGTGGTAGGTCGGTCTTTGGGCTCTGTTCCTGGCCTCTAGAATCAGGTTCCCGGCAGGAATGCTCCTGATTCTGACTGGCACGTTTGCTGCTCCTTCCCCAGCATTTGCTTTAACCCCCGGGGCCCTTTCCGCTTGCAGCAGCTCCAATCCTCGTGGCAAGCGAACGCCAACAGGGGCACAACCAGGGCTGGGGCCACTTCGGGGTGCAAAGGTGGCTGGGTGTCGGGGGGGGGGGGGGCAGAGCTTTGCACGAGTCGCCCCCTTGTGCCATTAGCGGCGCTGGGGGGAGAGGGATTCATGCACCAGCCCGCTCCCCCAGGGCAGACAAAGGAGCCCCTTTTCCCTTAGCATGGCGACTGCACACTCCAGCCAAGCGCTTCTTTCCCGGACCCATCCCCCTCCGTGGCTGGCGGAGCAGGGGGTGTCACCCGGCTCCCACCGGCCGCGCTGCAACCCGAGCCGAAGCCAGCCGGGCCTCCCTCCCTCCCTCGCGCCGCAAGCCCCGGCCAGGATGAAGGGGACGGACGCCTTCTGCCTTCGCCTTTCCTCTGCCCGGGCCCTGCTTCCCAGCGCGCCACGCCCCGGACCCGGGGACCCGGCTCCCCGCTTTAAGTTTGGCCCTTCGTGGGCGGGCAGCCTCCTACCCCCCCCCACCCCGGCTCCGCTCCCTGCAAAACAAACTCCCGGCCCGCCCCAGGGCTGCCCGCCACTGCGCCCTCCCCTCTCCCTGGAGCGCCTGGCTCCTCCTGCCCCCCCGCTTGCACCCCCTTTCCCCCCCTGCCCCCAGCGGGCAGCGCGTTGCGGCGGGCGCCCTAGCGCGCAGGCAGCCGGAGCTCCGCGCGGGGTGTGCGCTCGGTGCGGCGGCTGGAGAGGCAGCGCTTCGCGCGGCGGCGCCGGGGCAGGGGAGGGAAGCCCGCGGGGCAGCCTCCAGGCCGGCGAGCGGACGCCCGGGGGAGCCGCCCTTTGCCCCGGGCGGCTCCCCTCCGCCGCCCGGTTGCATTGAGGCGGCCGGGGTGGGGCAGGCGCCCTGCAAAGCCAGGGGCTGCGGCGGAGCGGGCGCTGGCCGGGCTCCCCACCTCCCCCGCTGCAGATGGTAGGCTCCATTTAAAGAGTGCTTGCCCTGCTTTCTCCCCGCGAATGTCCTTTGCCAAGCGGCACAGCTCGCCCGGGTCTCCTGCGGCTGGAGCCGCGTCTCCGCGCATCCCTGCGCTGGGGAGAGGGAGGCAGCAGCGAGGGGATCCAACAGGTAGCGGCGGGAGGAGAGAGAGGCAGCCACCCACCCACCCACCCCCGGCTGGTGCATCATGCGCCTCTCTCTCCCCCCCAGGCCAAAATCCTGAACATGATGGAAGACAATAAGCAGTTGGCCCTCCGGATCGATGGAGCTATCCAGTCCGCCAGCCAGGAGATGACTAACCTGCGAGCCGAGCTGACAGCCACCAACAGGAGACTGGCCGAGCTGGGCAGCAGCGCCGCCACCCCCTCGATCATGGAGAACAACCAGCACAACGCGCAAGGTGAGGGGCCCGCCGGGCTCGGGGTGGGTGACGGGCACCCGCCTGTAGCGCTCCCCCCGGCGCCTCTGCTGCAGCCTGGGGCTCGGGATGCGGAGCCCGGGCTGCTCGGTGACTCCCGGATGGAGCATTGGTGGATTGTGCAACTTTTAACCCTTTTTCCCTATTGCTTTTGGGTGGCGGGTTGAGTCAAGGATGCTGGGGGGAGGAAGTGCCCCTCAGCCAGAGCTGTATGTGTTGGGGAAGGGGGTGGAATAGGGGAGGGTCTCCGCCAAGCAATCCCTGTAACCCCCTTCCCACCCCCACCCACTGTGAACCGGTTCGGTGGGTAAACTTTTAATTGCAGGGTTGGGGTTTTCAGTTCCTGTGAGGTGTTAAGTGCAGCGTTTTAAGATCCATTTCCCTACATGATTTTTTACACTGGTTGCAGATTTTCCTCTGAGAGGTTAAAAAAGGCTCCAGCTGTTGTAGCCGAAACAAGGTTTTGTTTTAAACGGCAGCGTGTTGACATGTTCACTTTTCCTTTTATCTGACACTGAGATATTTTTTATACCTGGGTTCCAGCTTTATCCGCCCGCCTCCCTTTTGCCCTGTATCCAGTCAGTAAAATAAATAAGACAATGGGATGGTGCACTGCATGGAGTTTAAATATCTGGGGCATTATGAAAACAAGTACATCTGTGGGATTTTGTTTTTGTTTTGGTTAGTTTTTGGTGGACGTCTTCCCAAATCTGGCTAAGGTGTGGATTAATCTCTCCTGATGATAGTGGGATAGATGCAATCTTATCTTGAGCTTGTGTAGATGAGATGGTAGAAATAGGTTGCCAGTTTATGTTGACACTGTCAACCACGGCAGCTGTTGGTAATCCTTCAAGGATTAACATTGGATGAGGTGGTCCTAAAAATGCATTGTTTCCCTGTTTGGTGAAGTCAAATGGCAAATGCATCTGACATTCTCTGCTAATCAGCTTTTGACTTTAATATCATATTGTCTCTGCAAATTCAATTTATTACAGTTTAGGCTGCAGAAATCCCAAACAAGAGTTAAAACAGGGCAATTGAATGGAATGGTTACGACAACAAATGTGTAGCTATTAGACCTCACATTTTCTCTTTTTTTAAATTAATAGGTGGTGATCATTTTTAAATTCATTTTTTTAAATGATGGGTTCAGTTTAAATGTCTTTAGGTTAAAAATTAAAATATTTTTTTTTTTTTGGCAATTGTGAATTGTTTAACCTGCAAATTAGCATTGTTCAGGTTGAATTCCATTCTAAATTCACTCTCTAGTGCCTAGAGTTTGATGAAGGTCTAAGAATCAGATCAGTAATTTGGTAACAAAGCAGCCATGTTATAATTGTGATTAATGTGTTTCAGTCCTGCTGTTTAATGCATAGTTTTCTAGCATGGAATTTGGCAAATGGCATAACCTGTCTGGGAGGCGGGAGGAGGAAGGCATTACTAATATGTGCATTTCGATTACCTCACCTTAGCAAAAAGTACAGGAGTGTTGTATTTGCAGAATGCAAGGTATTGGGGATTTTATGAATCACAGGAGAGAGCTGTCTCCTAACGAGCAAATGGCAGAGAAATGAGTTTTGCTAAGAATAAAGACCCAGGGTTTAAAAAGTAGAAAAGAATCCCTATGTTTTTCCAGTAATTAACCCTTGCACGCCCCCCCTCACTAAAGTTAGGTGGACTTTACCAGCAAGTCTGCTAGATTCAGTAGCAAAGACTGAGCATATAAAACAGGTTGATATATGTACTGTCACAAATGACGTATGGTCTTAATTTTGCATGAGGGTTACCAAATGAGTGCTAAATTGTTGATGCACAGCTCTTAAGATTGTAGGGTTTGTCTTTTTTTCTTGTCTGGCTGAAATATGCTATGTTATACTAATGAAAATAGTGTTTGGGTCACAATTACTCTAAAAACATTTAAATAAAAAATACCGAACAGGTAAATACTGAATTGCAAGATACTTCACACTCAGAACAGTGTGTATGTCTGATCGGAAATAGTGCGAAACTTTCCCTGCCTTGAGAGAGCTATAATTGATTTGAATTTGCACCTGCGTGATAAAAATGTCAGCAGATATTATTTACTTATTACATATTTACTGCAAGGGTCTCTTGGTATGATGTTTGTACATTATTTAATAGCTGTATTTTTTGTATGTTACCTGTAGCTTTTTAAACATAGTCACTCTTCTAAAATGCAGTGTAGCTGTTCTCATAAGACTGCTATTCCTTTACATCATTAGTGTTGCATTATTAAAGTATTAGCACAAATTGATTTAGAGAGAGTAATTTGTGGATTTGTTCCATCAAACTTGTCTTATTTTGCCATTTATGCTGCACAGGGAATTGTCGCTATTAAACAAACTTAATCCACCATCAGATGGGTTTACTGTACAATCAGGAATTTGTCCAAGCCAACAGAGCGACCAATCCTGCTAATGCTTAATTTTGCTCGTGTGAGTAGCCCCTTCCAGTCACATAAGGAAAGATACCACCTCTGCTTAAACATTTTCAGGATTGGGCCCCTATTCTGATATCATCCTAGATGGAAGTTAATTTTTTCTAATGTGTTCATATCATCTCTGTGTGGGCACCTATCAGTTACTTTAAAATAAAAAAGTATTTTATCTACCCTTTTAATCTCATTGAATCCTTATGGACGTTAAAGGAACTGAGTCTAAAAATAAATTACCCCTGAAATTTAGTGGAGTTTACTAGCCAAAGTACTCTCTTTTGGAATATCTCTATCAAAAGGCCATGTGAAGAAGAACCTCCCTTCATCTTTCTTCTCGAGTTGAATGATTGATAATAGGAATGTTGATGTACTGTAGAGGGCATCAGCTTAGATTCTCAGGTTGAAAATATAGCCTTTTGGCTAGCAAAGCATGTCAAATCCCATTGTCTGTTGTTTTTATGATCCCTTTCTTACATTTCCCCCCTCGCCCCTGCAAAATGTATTAGCCTTAAGTACTTGTTTGGTTTTTGTCCTCTTTTTGCAGCAGAAAAGTTGATTTGTTTGTGTAACACCCAGGTGTGTTTGTGTTTGTATTTTCTAAAAGGATGCTTTGAAAAGGCTGTTTGTTCTGAGTAGTTTGTAATGTGATGAATGACTGAAAAGAGCTTATTCAGTTTGATGTGTTACTCTCAGCATAAATTGAAAACAATAGATTTGTTGTAGCCTATTCAAAAAAAAATGCCATTTATCAGAGTGTTCATTTGTGCCCAGTGGAGAGCCTTATTTCTGTTTAATATCTATAATTACATGCATGATTAAAAATATAAATTTAAGGTCAATGGGATCTTTCTGTTATCTAAAGAGTTGGGACCCAATGATAAGAGGTGAGGAGCAACCATAACTCAGCACCAATGAAAACCAGCCATCAATATACAGTGGATCAGTTGTAAAGTTGTTGAAAGGAATTACACTCAGGTAGCTCGGTGCCTGCTTCTGCACCACCCTTAGCTCCCACTGAAGGCCTGCTGCCACTGAGTGGGTCAGTGGGAGTGGAGAGCACAAGGCAGTTCTCAGGATTGGGCCCGGAGAGCCAAATTTGGCCCAGGGTGTCTCTGTGTAGGAGTGATGACAGAGGGTGTTTTCCTGCTGAAGTGAGAGTCTGTGGCGGTGTAGCCAACACTTCTATTTTATTTTTTGCCTGAGTTAAAGAGGAGGCTATTATTTTAAATGCGACTACAACCATATACTGCTAGTCTTATAACAGAAGCCAATCAGTTAAGTGTAAAATTACATTTGAAGTGAATTGCATTTGTCATTCTTATGGGAAGAACACTTGGTCTCATCAAAACGCTGATTAGATTCTCTGTCTGTTTGGTATCTTCTTCCTAATTTGTCCTACTATGTGTTGTGGCAAATACCCTTTTTATATCATTCTGTGTTTGCTTTTATAGGTCAGTTCTATAGACTGGTATTGGGTTTTCTCCCAAGAATTTTAAAAGGACACTCTGAAGGATGATATTGAAAATAGATATCCATAGGGGCTGGAACTAGGGGTGCTGCTGCACCCCTTGGCTTGAAGTGGTTTCCATTCTATCCAGGGTTTACAGTTTGGTTTAATGGCCCTCAGCACCCCCACTATACAAATTGTCCCAGCACCCCTGTAAATATCTG